AGCCCGCAACACGTGGCAGCAACCTACAAACCACGGCCTTGTGTTTCACGCTGGATCGGGAAACCCAAATTCACACGGAAGCCCCAGCCCGCCCACCCCCCGGGTGGCTGTCTTCGGAGCTAGGACCTTTAGAGAGGCCGTGAAGGTTAAACGAGGTCACAAGCGTGGGGCCCTCACCCGACAGGACTGGTGTCCCTTGAAGAAGAGAGAGAGACACCAGGGATGTGTGTGCACGCAGAGAGGGCGGCATGGAGACCCAGCAGGCAGGCGGCCGCCTGCAAGCCGGCAAGGAGAGAGGCCTCAGGAGACACCGGCCCGGAGCTCGCCTAGATCCAGGATGTCCTGCCTTCAGAAACGTCAGAAATAAACTGTTGTTTGAACCACCCAGCCCACGGCATTTTGTTACGGCAGCCGGAGCAGACTCAGACACCCGGGCTGTCATCAGCAGGGCCGAAGAGGGCGCCGACAGGAAGGAAGAAAAGGAAGCCCTAGATCTTTCTCTTAAGTACTAAGGCTATGCAGGAAGCCACGCACTCTTCCTCTCTCTCGTGGACCCCTTAACCCAATTCCAGCAAGTGTGGGCAGGTGGAGAAAGAGACATGAATTCAGCCAGATGTTCTAGGCCGCATTCGAGCCCGACCCCTAACACGCCCTGCCACGGGAGGTCAGCTCCTTCGCCTGGCCCACCACTCCCGTGACCATGAAGCAGGGACCGGAACTGCATGTCGCAGCCTGAGTGTGAGCATTCCGCGACAGGAGCTGCCCCTGCCGGGTGCTGGCGAGCCTGGCACAGGGGGCCCTCCGTCAACGCCAGCCTCTCTCCACCTGCAGTGAGAACCCCCCCAGATCTCTGCGAGGTCTCCGCCCCGACACACGGGAACACGGTCCACCGGGGCGGAACACCAGCCTTCCGTTCCAGCTAAGGCCAGCAGCCTAGGGAGACGGATCTCTCAGCAGGCCTCTTGTTCAACCCACTTGATAAGCCCATCTTCCAGGTAGACATCGGCGTAAAGGGATTGGTCATCGTTGATGATCCGTCCACCTTTGATGAGGAGCCGGTCACTCTGAAAGGCAAAGGCAAGTGTTCAGGATTCTTGGAGAAAAGCCAAGAGGATTTTTTTTCTTTTTACTGTTTAACACAAAACTTTCAAATTTTTCAAAGTGAAGGAATGACATAAAAACGTCCCCCCAGATGCATCACCCAGCTTCAGTCGTTCAAAACTTCGCCATTTTCATGTCACCTATTTTGCCCTCTCTTTTTCGCCGAGGTACTTTAAAGCAAACCCCCAGCATCATATTATTCCACTGATGAATACTTCGGTACATCGCACTAACTGGTAGACTGTCTAAACATACATAACCACAACCCATGATCCCAACTAACCCGATTCATGTGAGTTCCCGCCTATCAGTCAGTGCCAAGGCCCCATTCAGCTCTGCTTGACTGTCTCACAAACGTCGTCCTGTAGTGGGAAGGTCTGAACCGGGACCCATCCCGGCCCCCACAGCACGCCTGCCTCACGGCTGCGAAGTCTCTGTTGACATCCGCACCGCCCCGCCTCCCTTCTGAATGTCAATCATTTGCTGAAGAAACTGGGTCATTTGTAGCACAGGAATGACTCGATGTATTATTAAGTAGGACAACGATCAGCTTAGACACATTTTAAAATATAGCGCAAAGACTGAAAACCTCCCACTTCTCCAGCACAACTTCCAGGGGACATTCTGGCGCATCCCCCCTCTTTTTCCTGTTTTCCGCGGTTGGGATCAGACCACACACATCCACTCACTCTGCAGCGGCCATTAGCTGACAAGCCCAGCTCCAAGCCCAGGCCGGGCCAGGGCCCCCAGGAGCCAGCAGGAACCAGGCACAGAGCTGGAATCTGCTCTCATAAGGCTGGCAGATGGAGAGACAGCACCTACGAAGGCACGGGCTATGGATGGGACTCAGGATGAGACTGGCCTGCTGTGGAGCCAAGTAACGGGGCTACCAACCTTACCTGCAGAGTCAGACCCAGAAAATAAGTCTAGATGCGCGGGACCGAGCAAAGAGTTGCAAAGGCAGGCGGCCAGGGAGGGCACACGTGGCGTGTTCTGGGCAGAGAGAATAACATGCAACAGGGCCCAGGGACTAGCAAATTCCAGAAACCAAAAGGAACGCAAGTCTATCCTTTGTGCGTTTTACCATAAGCACGTCCCAAGTTATTACAGGTTTGGCATGAGCCTAATTTTTAAGTAGCTACAGCATATTCCATCTTATGGACATGTAATGAATTGTTTAATTATTCCCCCTGTGTTGAACATTTCACTATCTTCCATTTTTCATAATGAACTATATGACTGTGGTGAACATTTCTGTGCATAAAATTTCTTCCTTAGTTTGGCTGATTTGTTAAGCTAAATTCTCAGAAGCTTAGCAACAGGATCAAACAGCATGAATCCTATTTATGGCCCTTGATCAACACAACCAAAATGCTTTTCATGCATGTGAACACTAAGCACTCTTGTTTATTATAATGTTTGTTTATTTGTGTTTCTTTTTTTAGACACAGGGTCTGGCTCTGTGTCCCAGGCTGGAACTCAGCTGCATGATCATAGCTCACTGTAGCCGCCAACTCCTGGGCACAAGCAATCTTCTTGCCCCAGCCTCCAGAGTGGGTGAGACCACAGGTGCCGTGCCACCGTGCCTGGCTAATTTTTTTAAAAAACATTTTGCAGATGCAGGGTCTTACTACATTGCCCAGCCCGGTCTTGAACTCCTGGCCTCAGGCAATTCTCCGCCCCAGCCTCCCAAAGTGCTAAGATTACAATTTGCATCTATTGAAGGCTAAGGATTTTTTTCCATGAATATTCTATTTATATGCTCTCTCCAAGCTGGAGAGGTGGTCATGAATAAGACACAGCATCTGACCTTAGGTCCATTCCTTGGTTGGGGGAGAAAGAAGTGAACAGACAAGAACAGTCCACGGCAGGCAGGGCCCTGACTGCAGAGCCTGACTCAAGACCTTGCAGGCATGTGGTGCATCTTAGAGGTGCTTGTGGGCCTCGAGGGAGGAAGGGCACCCAGTCAAATAACTAAATCCAATCAAGGCTGTGTATTGATCGGGCTAACACCTCAGGCAGCTGCAGTTTGATCCTGCCAGGGTCCTCCAGGGAGGTGTACAGAACACACCTCAGAATGATCCCTCGAATCTGAATTTGCAAAAGCTGTAAACTCAGTTCTCCTCTTGAATATTCATGCTACACATTGGCAGAGCAAAGGATCTGAAGTCCTGTCATAAAGACCATCATTGTTTCCATTTAGCCCAGAATATCCTAAACTCGTGGTACCAGGGAACCCCTTTCAGGGCCAATACCTACTAAAATCCCTCTGAGCCAGAATTCAAAGAATATGGCTTTGAAAATGCCAATCAGTGAAGGAACTACTAATTTTAAGAAATAACATGAGGGATTTTAGCTCTTGCCTTATCGTGGGCTTAATCTTTCAGAAATAGACATGAGAGACACCATGAACTCACACGCCCTCCCACTCCCCACCCCGAGGTCATTGCATGCAGTATCTGGGGGTAGTTGGAAAAAAGGTGGATTTGAACACAAGCTCCACTATCTTAATTCTAAGAAGAGCAGAGCAAGTTGGGACTGATCTTTCAGCATATAGTGCACTAAAAACCACCTTTTAGGCTGAGCCCCAAAAGCCCACTATAAAATATATCAAGGTAGATGGCTGCCTGCAGGGGGCCATGTCCAGAAGTCCTGCCCCAGCTGCCAATGACTCAGGGCTTCCTGCTTTCTGGTGCTGGGGGAAACCTGCACTCCAGCTTGTCTGTGCTTCCCGGACATGCAGAGCCCAGGCCTCTGCTTTCCCTTGGTCCAGGCAAGATAATGTTTCTTTCTCCAACCTACTATTAACTCCCAGTCAACCCCAGCTGGGAAGAGAGAGCTGATGCTAGCAGGACACCTTTGTTCTTTTCACAAACATTAATACTATGCCAAATTCTGCTTGCAAAAATTAGCCTTTAACGCTTCCGGCATTCTTACCCCTGCAACAGCAAAATGAACAACAACAAGAACAGCCTCATACAGGAGGGAGGGTTCCTGAGCACAGCAAACGGTGCACATCAGTGTCTTCTCCTGAATGAAACAGTAAACCCCCTGGGTTCTGCTCCCTCTCCTGCACAGCAGGAATAAAATCTGTCATCTCCACCACAAAGGCAGCTGTCAGAAGGGAGATAAAACCCATCATGGTCTGGAGGTCCTCAGAAAAACATAAGAGATGCTACTCTTATCAAATCAACACTTATCCAGAAATCACTGGTTAGTATGATCTGGCTTTCTGGAAAACAGCAGACAACCAAAGCTGTTATTACAGAGGCAGGGAACAAGAGCTGACTCTGTCATCAAGAAGGGATCATTTGAAGTGAACTCTGAAATATAAGCGGGAGCTCACAAAGCTGGAAAAATGGGGACATCCCAGCCAAAAACCAGTATAGACACGGACACAGCATTCCGAAAGTGCCAGGTGCCATGCCTAGGTGAGGAATAGGTGGGAATGTGTGCTGTCCGTGGTGCTGAAACCAAGGTTTCTCCTGATCCTGGGGTGCTGAAGAGCCCTCATCTCCACTGCATGTGACTTGTCGTTTCGTACTGCTTTTCTTCTCGGCTTCTTGGCGAAGTTTTAATGTTTCTTCCTCACAGAACTAAAATAATTATGGCTTCTGTTTACACCGGATGTAGCTTGCTTCCAGTACTTTTAGGGCATAGGATCACCCTTCCAATGGTTGTATTCTCCCACCTTAGGAAACTGGGGGAAGGAAACTCAACTCCCACCCCCCAACATGCTCCACTAATGCAACGCTTGGCATCTGGAGTCAATGAACATGTGAGTGTCACCCCAGGGTCTCAGAGGTTGTGCATATTCAGATGAGGCTGCCTGATTTCTCAGTGGGAAGGACAGAAACTTTCAGAGCAGCTAAACGACCTGTTTCTCCTGGAAATATAAAGAAATCCTTCCTTTCCAAAGGGCAAGCAGGGAAACAACCTGACCCTGAATTGTGCCTCACATCTTCAAAATTTAAAGATTTTTTTAAAATCAAGGAAGTCCCATTTTTTGGCAGAAAAGTATTTGCCCAAGCATTGAATGCCAGTGGAATTGATTTCTCTTAAGACAAAGGAAATGTCAAGGCGAGTTTTGGAAAGTATTAGTCCTTTAAGCCCCACATGCCAGAGATGTCAAGGCTTACATTTGCAACGCGGAAACTCAACAGAATTGGCAGGCAGGCCCCCTCCCCTCCACGCACACACACACACAACTAACAGCATGGCACCATGGCCCAGTTAATCTCCAAAATGCCCTGGGATTGCTTGCCAAAAATTCCCATCCAGTTGCTTTCATCCAGATTTTCATGCACCAGCTCTAGACAATGGACTGGGAATGTATGCTATCACAAACACCCCCAGATAACTTGGACACGGGCACTCTGTGGGAGGTTGTGTTATTCCTTCACAATTCTCCCCACCCTCCCACCTTGCCATGCCCCAGCGTGGGTGCCCCACTGACTGTGGGGGTCCGTGTGACACCCTTGGACCACAGAGTGAGAGAGGCCCCAAGGGCACCAGGCCAAGCACAAGCTCTGGGAGGCCGGGGGGCTCAACTCTCGCTCATGAGTCCACCCTTCGCCGTGAAAATCACAAGACCCAAGGGATGGCAGCCTCCGAGTGAGCTAGAGAAGGAACCAAACAGAAGCCTGAAGACAAAGACAGCTGGGGCCCGCTGAGCATGCACAACCCTTAGACCCAAGTGCAGTAAATCGACATTTCTCGTAAGGCACAGAGTTAAGGGGGCATTTGTTATGCAGCCTCACTGCATCAAAGGAAATGGATACACCATCACGGTTCTGTTCTGGGAGTCATGGGAACTGCTGCCTGAGAGGGGTTTTTGGGTTTGGGTTTGTTTGTTTTCTCGAGATGGAGTCTCACGACGAAGCCCAGGCTGGCCCCAAACTCCTGGCCTCAAGCAATCCTCCCACCTCAGCCTCCCAAAGTCTACTGGAGAGGCTGGATCTCTCAAATGCTTCAGATTTCCATGACTCGGTCCCCACCTCCAGTAACTAGAGCCTCTGCATTCCCCAAGCTCTCCCCTCCCGATCTCCCACCCAGCCTGCTCACAGCAGCGCCTGCCATCCCACCCAGCCGCACACTCAGTCACTCATAGAAGCCAGCCCGTTTGCCTCGATTTCGCCTCAGGGGACAGCCCGGCAGCCGGCAACCCTTTGCCACAGCACCCAGGAGTGCAGCCCAGGAAGGCGCCACCCGTATGAGCTTGAATCAAATTAACACGCGTGTCCTCCCCTTGCATGGGGAGGGGGCAGGGGAGCTT